CGCATAAATATTGCATAGAAAGCCCTTAGCGTAATAGTAATGAACCGCTTTGCATAAGATATATCTCTGTAAAAGTAACTTAGCTTTGGAGAAGTTGGAAGGCGGTTAAGTATTGACCCTGCATATTTGATCAACTCTGCGTCCATGTAGTGTACTGGTTGTCGCGGTTGCCCATGAAGCAATGGTCTGCGGTTCGAAGGTTGGTAGAAACGATTATCTTCTTTTTTACTGAACGCGTCTCTTGTCTTCCTTTTGGCAGTCCAGGTGTGGATAGAAAAGGCATGGGTCGCGGGCCGCGGAAGCTTGATTGATGCAGAGCGGATTGGGCTTTGGATGCGGTCCGCTCCTAATGGGCCGGTGGGAAGATAATAAATAGCGGCCGCTGCGATATTGAAGCACGAAAATATCTTCTGGTCTGTTGGTTGTGCGTCCTGATTCCCCGAAGGAGGTCTGCGGTTCGATTCCTTCCGTGTGCGTTTTTATTTCTTTGGCTCGACCGTGCAGTGGGCTTCATTCGCAAGGCGGGCCGCAGGTGTCAGTTGGATGCGGGCCAAATGTAGGCCTGTAAATGGGCTTCTTTCTCAAGGCGGTCCGTGGCAGTTGGATGTGGGCCGGATGGAGCCTTCTCCTTGGATGCAAAGCGGTCTTGATGTGTTCTAAAAATTGATAGCGTTCCAATGTTGCACAAAAGACGCGTCTTTGTAGCATATTGGTTTGTGCGTCATACAGTCAATGAAAGGTCGCCGGTTCGAAGGTTGGTGGAGGCGTTTCTCTTTATTTTTAATTGGAGGCCTTGGAGTTGAGCTACTTTGGACTGGGCTTGACGGAAGGCGGTCCCGGCCCAATATGAAGGTTATTGCGGCCGTGCCGGGCTAGATGGGAAGCGGGTCTGAATGCGGGCCTTCTGCCAGAAGCCTGATGGGAGACCGGGTCCAACGTGAGATGCGGGCTTGAAGTTGCGATGCAAGTCGGATGGTGAGGCGGCCTGCATTGTTAGGCGTACAGCTCTTGCGTGCCAGGCGGCCCTGGAGGGCTTGTGGGCTCAGGAGTGGCTTTAGACGCGAGCCGCATACGGGACACTAGCCGCGGGCCGTCACATTTGAGAGTTGAAGATGGGCCGCCAAGCGCACAGAAATCACAGTTTTCCTAGAAAGACGCTTTCGGCTTGCCTCGGGAAATTCGCCTTTTCTTTATGACCGAAAGAAAGTAACTTTTGGATAGCTGTCCCATCTGCTTTTCGTGAGGGAGAGAGTCTTTTCGCCGTCCACTGTAGCTGTGCAGAGTAGGCTTGGCTTTTGAGAAAGAGAAGATGTTGATGTCGACTGCAACTGCGGCTGAGGTGACAACGACCAACCGGCGGGAACGAATCAGCTTATGCGGCGGTGTTGGCCGGGATCTGGAAACTGAAGCCCTTTATCTTCCTTTTCGTTTTGCAGTTCGGATTGGTGGTAGTTGCAAAATCGAGCGTTGGGGCGGCGGCCGGTGACGACGACAAGTTGTTGTAGTGGAGACCAGTGACAGTGGCGAGATATGCTGGCTGTTAGGTTGAGATCTCCGGCTTCTTCCTTCTGTCAATCCTCCGGTGGGATTGTTGCTGGCGACAAGTGAGTGTGGAGAGCACCGGCGTCGAGTTGGTTCGGCGATCAATGGAAATTTTCCAGCTTTGGTCGGCGATAGGAGACGAGGAAGCTTGATTGACGTCGCTAGTTTCACCCTTCTTTTCATATTGTCTTCTTCTTCCTTTCGTTAGGTGGGGAAAATGAGAGGCAGCCGGCGGAGAGTTCCTCCTCCTTCAGCGACCGAATGATGGAATCATAATCGGTGCCCCACGGTGGGCGCCAATTGTTTGAGCCTAGAATGTACTAGGCGGTTGTGGGGCTCCGATCTGGACTCCCTCGTCCGATCTCCTCGGGAATGGAAGAATCTGTGAGGCGGGGGGCGGCCCCCGGGATCTACGCTCCGACGCTCAAGTTAGTACGATATAGAATGCGGTTTATTGTATGTAGAGAGAGAGAGAGTTTAGAGAGAGACCTTAGGGTAGAAGTAAGGAAGGGAAGAAGAGGATCCATGACTTGGAGGCTTTGGCCTCCTTATATAGGCTTGAGACTCCATAAGTGGGCTTGGGCCCGTGACTCCTTGCGTTGGGCTTGGACCCGTTTATAGTCTTGTAGGCATATTAATCCATATCCCAACACTCCCCTTAATTAATCAAATAGAAACCAGCTGAATCAATCAATCAACACCGAATCAGACTTTTGGTCTTAGTTTTGTTCATTTATTAAAAAGGAGTTTGATTAGTTATGACTTGTGACAAAGAAAATTGATTCGGACTCAATTGTACATTTTTTATTCCTTTTTTTAGTTGTTTAAGGCATTTTTACTTTGTGAGGTTTGGTTTTATGCTGGGTTTTGTCTCGATTTTGTGCATTTCAATCTATAGCAGGTGGAACCAACCCTGGAGTCGAAAATTGGACGAAAAGGCGAGAAATCGGGTCAAAGGACTGCGGCAGCCACATATCACGGTGGAAGCCATTAGTTCACGGTCATGACGACCATGAATTGGAGCCGCAAGCTGTGACCACCAAGGCGTCCAAGGACATTTTCGCTTTCACTAGACTCAAATAAGTTCAAGGTCGTAAGACCGTGAACTGAGGCCATTGCCCGTGAACTCGACTAAGTGATGCGACGCGTTTTGACTTGAGATCACGGTCCGTGCTTTCAGTTCACGATCGTGAACCGGGACCGTGATCTGAGCTCGATTTGGGTATAAAGGAGTCTTGAGCTGAAGGAGAAAAGGGGAGAGACCTAGTGTGAGAAGCTTCTTCTTCTTCTTCTTCTTCAGATTTCTAGAGTGAGAAAGTGAGGAACCAAAGAAGAGAAGAAGCTAGGATTTCATCTTCAAGCAAGGATTTGAGAATTCCTGCCCCAAAGGAGGATCTCTTCAACACAAGGAGCTTGGCTAGCATCTCCATGATGGTTTTCCTTCTTCTCTCTTGTATTTTCCCTTCTCCTAGCACGAAATAGTCCCTTATTTCACTTGACTGTTTGTAAACCCTAGCTACAATTACATGAATATTTGTATGGATTGAATGATTTGTGTGTGGATGTGTCTTACAGACCGTTTGGTATCAAATGAATCGAGAATTCATTTCATTGTAAAATTAATTACCGTGTAGATTTCATTGTCAAATGAAATCTTATATTTGTTATGTCATATTCAAATCTTTAGAAATAAAATGAATTGAAGTGTAGAATTCATTGTCAAATGAATTCTTGTGTTTGGTATGTCATATTTATAGGTAATTTAGTTAATAAAAGAGGATAAATATGTCATTCTATTATAATTAGTAAATACTTGTGGAATTCATTTGGAAATTCCATCTCAATTCCTCGGAATTGTTATAACTAGTTCCAATCCCATAGAATTCAAAATTTAGAATTGAAAATGAATTTTTTTAAATATAAAAAACAAAAATGTTTCATTTTCAAATGAATTTCTCAAAATTTATGGAATTCATTTATATCAAACGATATGTTAATGTGAATTTGGAGGTATTTTCATGAAAGATTGCGTTGTGTGTTTGGCTATCAATCTATTTACCATTCTAACCTAGGTAGAGAGAAAACTCTCTTTCTTTGAAAGAGGCTAGTAAAGCTGTGTTTTCTTAGGAAAATCCTGTCTCCTATCTAGGTTAATGTAGGCCAACCCTATTTGTTCGTATTAGCACCTAGGGTTGGTTGTAATTTGGCCGTTCGAACTCCGATTCGAGGCTGAAGTCTTGACAACCTTTAGTCAATAGGTCAAGAGAGCTACTTTGGTGGCTTGAATCGAATTCCCTTGACCTAGTGACCGAGAGAGTGGCGTTTGGCTACTTGTTGCACTTCCCTACGGTTTACAACCACCTTGCCACACGCGTCCATTCGATCCGTCAAGTCATAATTGCTAGCTAGGGAGAGCAACACCCGGGTGAAGCCTTCTCATTTAGTATAAAATCCATTTATTTTTTCAAATGTTTTAGCTATAGATCGTTGTTTTCAACCAAAAAACAAATTGCTAGATAATGTTACAAAATAATCGAAGTAGGGGTACATGAACCAACCCGGGTAGACATTTAAACATAGTTGCCCTATATTGCACCCATGTTAGGGGTAGCTCATTGCGAGATTGCCGGTCCTCACTATGCAACTCAATCCTAACAAGTAACATCTCCAGATATGGAGTGCACCATAATTAGCATCTTACGCCGCGTACCTTGTCCCTTGCGGCTCTTGTATACAAATGGAATCTCCATCCTGCATTGACACATCCCATATCATATGCTTGTGTGGGTCATGATAGAACAAGGCTAAATCTTTGTTTTCAGTGGGAACCCATGAAGTTTTGATACTAAAACTAAGCTTAATCACTATGTCAGTCCGTTTTAAGATGACAGAATCTCTTCCACAAAATGCATCACATTTCCACGCCATGTATGAAACCAATTTAGGGCTTCGTTTTCAACTGGTGGTCACTCTCACACTCACACCCACTCTTTGAGTATTCTTTTATCATGAGAAGGAGAACCACATGGAAAAAAGGCCATGCAGGACCGAAACAAACTAGTATACTGCAAAACATTATTTGACTTGGAAAACTACCTTCTTGTCTGCTCTTCCTTTGTCGATATCCATTGCAGAAGAGAAGATTTGAAGCCAGCGATCCACACTTTCGCTCCCACAAAACTCAATCAGTGCTTCCAAAGTATTAAACTAATGGTGCAGACTGCAGAGTGATTATTATATCACTACATTACCAAGTAAAATAATAATTAGCTTTCGTTTTCACTTCCCGTCTGTAGACCGTAAGTTAGTCAGTCAACTAACACGGCCCGGGTTTTCTTGGTATAGAACCCTACAGTAAACTAGCAAGTAAACTATTTTCTGCTCTTCTGTTGATGCGAACCAGCTAATCGCGCTTCTGAATTGCGATTGCGATATGGAACGCGTGGTGTGGAGTCAACAGCAACAACAACAACAGCAATTGCAAAGATTAAGTCTTTGGTCAACGAGCAGTTCTTGGCTCATGAAAAAGAGGGAATCAATCTTGAATCACCGCAACAGAGAAAATCAATCCATGGAGTCCAAGATCTCCACATTTCTCGCTCCAGTGGTAGTTCTACTGCTACGACCTCTGATTTTCCTCTGCCTCTCTTCCCCTGTTTTGTCAGCTCCAGACTCTGTAACTTTCAGCGCCACTTCTTCCGCCGTTCTAGTCAGGGATAGCAGCGGCGGAGGAGGAACTCTTGTTTCTGTGACGGAAGCTTTCCAGCTGGGTTTCTTCACTCCAAACGGAAGTGAGTTTCGTTATCTCGGAATATGGTACCGGAATCGGCCGTCGACCGTCGTTTGGGTGGCTAATCGTGAATTCGGACTACAAGACTCCACCGGATTCCTCTGTTTCACCACGGACGGAAACCTCCAACTCTTCGACGGAAGCAACGAGTCTTACTGGTCAACTGGTCTCCAACAATCAATACCCTCTTCAGAAAATTCCATTTACAGCCTGAAGCTCATGGATTCTGGGAATTTGATACTCGCCGGAGAAAACACGACCGCACTCTGGCAGAGCTTCGAGCATCCGACTGACACGTTTCTACCAGGAATGAAGATGGTCCCCAATCTCAACTTAACTTCATGGACCAGTCCACAAGACCCGTCGCCTGGAAATTACGTGTTCCAGCTGGATCAAGAATCGCCGGGGAAAAATGATCAGTTCATGGTTCTGAACAATTCCTTCCCTTTCTGGAAATCCCAGGTTCCCGGCTTCGTCTCCTTTATCCTGACCGATTACCCAATTGAGTATTCCAATTCCACCTACAACATCACACATGGGCGGAGAGGGAAAACAGAGTATTCCAACTCCAGATTCGTGATGGGTATCGATGGCAGGATTCAGTTTTTCCCCCAGGCGGCAAACGACACGGCACCGTCCTGGGCCGAGCCCAGCGAATTCTGTAGCCAGCTGTCAGCGTGTGGCAGCTTCGGCAGCTGCAACAGAGATTACCGCCTACCTTGTAACTGTCTTCCTGGGTTCCTCCCGAAATCGCCAGAGAATTGGAACTCAGGGGATTTCTCTGAAGGCTGCGCAAGGGTTACCCAACAACAGTGCCACAAGAAGGAAACTTTCCTCAACCTGAAAGTAGCGACGGCGCAGAAACCTACGGCGGTGAGCAAGGAGTTCTCAGAGGAAGAAGAGTGCAGAGGTTGGTGCGGTGAGAAATGTAATTGCCAGGCGTATGCGCTCAATGAAGCTGAGAAGCACGAAACAGAGTGCAGAATTTGGCTCGATGATCTGAAAGACATCGAGGAGATTGAAGTTGCTGGTCCTGTCCTCGGTCTCAACCTTCGGGTCTCGATTTCGGACATCGAATTGACCAAGAAGGATTGCAAGCCGTGCGGTACTATCATCGTGCCTTACCCACTCGGCACCGGGCCGAGCTGTGGGGATCCATTGTACTCGAGCTTCGCATGTAGCAACAAAACTGGCTTGCTTAGCTTTGTGGCACTCAGCGGCAGCTACACTGTGACCAGAATTGACAAACAGGCGCAGAAATTCTTCGTTCAAGTTGGGGATGAGTATTGTGGCGGGGAGAGCAGTGATTCGAAGGATGTTGAATTGGATCAAACGCTGCCGTTTACAGTCGATGATGATTGTAATGCTGATACAGGGAATCTGAGTTTGGGCCGATTCAGGGGAGATAAAGTGTTGAACGAAATTGGGATCTCGTGGGAGTTGCCCTCTGAGCCACTTTGTGGGGTTGAAGACGACTGCAGTGATTGGCCGAATTCGAGCTGCCGAGAAGGTGGAGATGGTAAGAGGTGCCTCTGCAATGGAAGTTGGCACTGGGATGGAAGTAATGCTACTTGCAGCCAAAGTAAGTTTCATAGCTCTGTCCCACATTTGATCATTCCGATTATGAATCACTTGGAATCATAATAATATACTGATTTTGTTTGTTTTTGGGAAACACAGATGTTGGTATCAGATCTTCCACTCCTTCACTGGAGAAGAAGAGACAATTATATCCCATCATATTTGGTATTCTTGGAGGTGTTCTTCTCCTTGGCTGTGCAATTGTAGTACTGTACATGAAGAGAAGGAGAAGAAAGGCTGCCGGAAGAGGTATGCAATCAAATCAGGCTTGTTGAACTTTTCAGGAAGCGATTGGCCAGTTAATTAGTTTGTTTAATTTGATAGGAAGCAAAGATGGGAAAGAGGAGAATCTGGCATTCAGACTATATGACAGCGAGAAGCGAGTGAAAGAGTTCATGAACTCTGGCCAGTTTGGGGAAGATGACAAGAAAGACATAGACGTGCCATTCTTTGAATTGGACTGCATATTAGCTGCTACAGATTTCTTCTCTAATAGCAATAAGCTTGGGCAAGGCGGCTTTGGTCCTGTTTACAAGGTAAGAAATAGTCACTTTATCAGTCACACAGCCTAAATCCCAGATGGAAAGAATCCCAAGTAAACTGGCCCTTTGTTACATATCTGTAAATTCAATCAGGGGAAATTTCCGGGAGGTCAAGAAATTGCAGTGAAAAGGCTTTCGAGTGCTTCAGCACAAGGGCTCCAAGAGTTCAAGAACGAGGTCCTGTTGATTGCAAAGCTGCAGCATAGGAATCTAGTAAGGCTTTTGGGATATTGCGTCGAAGGAAATGAAAAGATTTTGTTGTACGAATACATGTCTAACAAGAGCTTGGATTTCTTCATCTTTGGTTAGTAGTCTCCAATTGTATTGTTTCAAGGAAAATTAATCTACACTTGCTAACCATCCACAGTATTTGTTGTTTAGATCGAGAGCGATGCAAGGTCTTGAACTGGGAGATGAGATTCAACATCATAATGGGGATCGCTAGAGGGCTGCTTTACCTCCATCACGATTCGAGGCTGACGATTATCCACAGAGACATGAAGACGAGCAATGTTCTCCTTGACGACGAAATGAATCCGAAAGTCTCGGATTTTGGTATGGCAAGGATAGTGACGGAGAAACAAACAGAGGTCAACACCGTACGAGTTGTTGGAACCTAGTAAGTCATCCGATTTTTGTTGTTCTTCTTTTAAAACGTGTACTTCAACCGACCGTCACGGTTTCCAATTTGAATGGAACTAATAATCATTGCCATCTCTTTGTTATAAAAGCGGATACATGTCTCCGGAGTACGCATTAGATGGGTGCTTCTCCACGAAATCGGATGTTTTCAGCTTCGGGGTGGTCGTTCTCGAGATTCTCTGCGGGAAAAGGAACAGTGGCTTTTACAACTCCGACAAAGCACTCTCCCTCATGGGATACGTACGTTGTGTTTTTCTGAAAATGTTCCTGCATATACCAAATTACCAATTCTCAGAAAATGTTTTTTCCTGAGAATGCATGATAGATGAGGATGTATTTCAGGCGTGGGGATGCTGGAGGGAAGAGAAGGCAATGGAAGTGATGGACGTTTCGTTGTCAGAAACCTGCAACGGGAGCGAGTTCCTGAGGTGCGTGACGGTGGCGCTGCTGTGCGTACAGGAAGACCCCAACGATCGACCCACCATGGCGAACGTTCTGTTCATGCTCGGCAGCGACACGGCCAGCCTTCCTCGTCCCAAAGAGCCCGCCTTTTCGGCGCGGCTCCATGCTAGTTCCTCCGCCACTGGCACCGGCACCGGCACTGCTTCTTCTACTAGCTTTGGAACTATGGAGACCACAACCGAGCTAGAAGGAAGATGATGTATATATATAGTTCGCACTCATTTTTTGGCTGGAGATTTTTGGATGATTATCCCCTGATTCTTTTGTCGTAGGTTGAGGGCAAATGTAATGGTTATATTCATCAAAAAAAATGTAATGGTTATTCTGTTACTCGATGTAACTATTTATGGCCAAATGGAATATTTGACCAACGTAGATTCAAGAACGGTAGAATTTGATGATGCGGAAGATTAAAAAGAACACGAGACAAGAGATTTTACGTGGTATCCTTGATCGATTGATTGATCAAGACTAATCCACAGTGAGCTCGTACGAGCTCACGACTGATATTTTATTAGAGACTACATTGTGACCGACTAGCTTACCACAAGACTTAGTAGCTTAGTTCTTAAATAGACAAGGTTTAGGCTTTAATCCTTGCACAGCCGTGACCTTGGCTTGACAAGCAAGGAATACAAAACCATAATGGACAAGGAGAACTAATGGTTATTTACTACAATTGGAGTTCTTACTCCAATTGGACTTGTAACTAACTGAGATTAGTTCCAACGAGTCCAACACTCCCCCTCAAGCGAAGACATGAATGACAAGAATGTCGAGCTTGAAAAAGAAAATGTGACAAACAAGCATGACAAGCTTGAACAACAAAACTCGAGATGAACAACATCTCGGATGAGGCTGATTTGGAGACGACTGACTCTCTCCCTTGAACAACCTGATGAAGATGGTTAACCGCATCTTCTTGAATGTCGTGACGAGACGGTTGATGGCGTCTCTTGAACGACCTGACAAAGACGGTTGACTGCGTCTCTTGAATGACTTGACGGAGACAATTGTCTACGTCTATCCGTATGATATGGTGGAAATGGTTGACTGCATCTCTTAAACGACTTGACTCCCTATTCTCCACCTCAAGCTGGAGCATGAACGATGTGAATGCCCATCTTGAAAGCTAGAATGGTCAAGACTGAAAACTGATTGATTTTGAACACAGAGGGGACGATCGCTTCTTTGATCGTGACTGTCTCGCTTGATGACTTGAAAATGACTGGCTATTGAAGGGACGACCATTAGTGTCTTCACTGCCATGACTTTGATTGATATTCTGAATAATGACGACAGCTGCAACAAGGCACACAAGTTCCACCACAAACACAAGGCAAATCAATTCCATTTTTTTACTATGTAATTGCTTTGACCTGACGTACTCCTACTTCTCCCAAATGTTGTGGTAAATGGGAAGGGTGAAGACGAAATCCACGTAGGCATGCAGATTCAAAACTAGGGCCAGCCTGCAGCAGAAACTTGGATTGGACCTGGATTTGATTTTTGGACTCTGACTGCGGGAACTTGGGAAGCTGTCTCCAGGAACTGATTGTAGATATCGACAGGGACAGAGACACGCTCTTGAATTTGTGGACCGGCCGAGAGTTTTGGATAGACCAATCAAAAACAAAACTCCCGCCGCGGACTATGATGGTGAGATTGACTTGAGGACGAGGACGGTGACCCATCTACAGGAGGCAAAGCTGGAGATGACTATGATACGCGACCGTTTGATTGCGACGGCGGCGGGATTGACGACGATGTTGAGAGCGAGATCGGAGGTCAGCGCCGTTGTGGTAGACAACGACAGCGGCAGTGCAGACGACATTGATTCTGGTCGAGACGAAGATGACGGATGGGAAGTTGACTGACTGGCGATGGCGGTGTCCTGAAAAGGGCGACGCTGGCGGGAGCTCGGATCCGAACAACCTCTACTTGACGACTGCGACGATGATGAGTCAACAACGTTGGGACGCGAACGACGATGATGACAAGAGGAACGACGGCCTTTACTCGGCGTCGGCGACTGGTGTTGATGAGAAGATCGAGGCGGACGAAACTGATTCCGATGGAAATCAGCGACTGTGACGGGATGCGACGACCTTTAGAGAGCCACGAATGGGCAACAACGGCGACCTGATGTTGGAGTCGGAGGTGGAGCCAACAACTTCTTTCACCGTGGTTGCTGATTGACGAAGACGACGAGACAAAAGACAAAAACTTGCGGAAGCTCAAAATCCTAACAATGGCTCGATTTTTGCTCTGATACCATGTAGAATTTGATGAAGCGGAAGATTGAAAAGAACACGAGACAAGAGATTTTACGTGGTATCCTCGATCGATTGATTGATCGAGACTAATCCACAATGAGCTCGTACGAGCTCACGACTGATATTTTATTAGGGACTACATTGTGACCGACTAGCTTACCACAAGACTTGGTAGCTTAGTTCTTAAATAGACAAGGTTTAGGCTTTAATCCTTGCACAACCGTGACCTTGGCTTGACAAGCAAGGAATACAAAACCATAATGGACAAGGAGAACTAATGGTTATTTACTACAATAGGAGTTCTTACTCCAATTGGACTTGTAACTAAGTGAGATTAGTTTCAACGAGTCCAACAAGAACTACTACATCTCTTGATTTCACTAGGCCATGCTATATAAGTAAAGACTATATTATCTCTATCATTGTAAATTACTATGAGAGAGTTTGTGAAATATTGACAAGCAACGTTACAAATAAAATGAATGTTCAGTAACAAACTGTACATGAACAACTAAAAATTAAACTCTGGCTTAATACTCTAAAGTGACCCGAATTTTACAGAAATAGACTACTTTGGCCTGTTGTTTATGAAATACTCATCATTAGCTAGACTTAACTTACCTATTCGCAAAGCGAGAGCGAGATCGTGAAAGCTTTAACTTTTTGAGAATTAAATTTTCAGAGTGTGACAAGAGCATCAATACGAATATCATTTATTTATTTTTGGTAAAAATATGAATATCATTTATAGTAAAATTTTAGATAAAATTTAAAAACTTATTAGAGTAAGTAATTAATACAAATTATAATATTAATAAAGAATTAAGTCCAATTATTAACGTAAGTTGTTTTATAATATTTAATGAAATAAAGATCTATTTCTAAGGGTATGTCTTCTCTACTATGTTTTATTGCTCTAACTTTTTTAAATAAAAGACTTGAATTTGTTTCAGTTGGGCTGTCACAAATTAATAAACTTGGCCCTTTTAATTTATCTTAGCTCTAGTTCTATTTGGGCTGTCACAAATTAATAAACTTGGCCCTTTTAGTTTATCTTAGCTCTGTTTGTGGTTTGATTTAAACTTAGCCGGCTAGGTGATAAGACCATCTCCAACAAGGAATTGGAAAAATACTAGAATGGCAAAAGATTTTGGCACTCCAAAAGTGGCTTTTGCTCTAACAAGCAACACTATAGAAAAACTGGTTTTCAGTCACGATATCTTATTCACGGTAGTGTTTTCTGTACTTAGAGGTATGCTACGAAGCACGGTAAAATTTCCATAATTAATTTTATAGTTCTAATCACGGGAATTAATTTACCAATTTTTTATTCTTCACTTCCCGTGACTAATAATTAGTCACGGTTAATTACCGTGAATAATGTGAATATTTTAGCAATACAAACTTTCCCAAAATTTAGTTGGAAGAATATGAGTTGGCTCCAATATTTCTTTGGCTCCAAAAAAGAATACAAACTTTCCCAACATTTAGATGGGAAAATTTGGGTTGGCTCCAAAATTTCTTTGGCTCCAAAAAAGTGCCCAGCAACGAAAAGTTCATTTTTGGAGATGTAGCAGTCAAAGAGTCCATAGTCAATAAAAGGGAACCAAGAAAACCTCCCGGAATTGGCGTATTCCACTTTTGAACAAAAAGAAACCTCGTATATTCCTTCAATCAATATCAATAGGCCATAAAATTGGATGTACTCTATCAGGGGCCTGCCGCATCTGGACGGGCTCATTGTGGCTAGCAGTTACAAATGGGCCTCAACGCAGCGGAACAAAGGGCTTATGAAAATCTGCAAAGTGCATAGCTTAATTAAGTTGCAGGATAAATTGTCAAAATTGTCCTTCCAAAAAAGCCTCTTAGACCAGCGAATTCAAATTTATGAAAATCCAACTTATTTTTTTCCATTATATATTTTGTAGATGAGGTGGAAATTGTAAAGATTTATTATTATTATTATTATTATTATTTATTTGTCACTCATTTTGATGGCCAATCATCAGATTTAACGATCACATCCGAAAAAGTTTATAAAGATTAATGGTGAGTGACCAAACTTGAACTGTTAAACTAATCTTAGTAACCAGGCATGGAATAAAATAATTTTAGTGTGAAATGTGAATTTTTTTAGTATTCTAGTGACCAAATTTTTAATTTGCCCAATTATATCATATACGGAGCCAAATTCGATTACAATACTGCAACAGGAAAGCAATCAAGTTTCCCCTAAATCACCAAAATATAGAGCTATGATTTCTTACTAGTAAAGTAGTTCTTGCCTAAAGAACCAACTAGCTGGACTTCTGTTTGCCACTAAAAAATCACTTAGAACCATATTGATTATTTTCAAGGAATGGTAGTGATTTATAAGGCTAACTCAACTATATTAATTAAATTGATTTAAGTTGGGCCTAAATGATAGAATTTTGGGCTATCCATGTCTTTATGCATGGTACCTCGGTGCCCACCACCTCGACACCAACCACCTAAGCACCCATCTACCAAGCAGGATATATACTCTATTGTCAAGTATGTTGGTCGCCCACCTACCATGTATAAGGGCGTCAAACATTACATCATCAAAGAAAGGTTGATGCTGGCATGCCTAGTCGCATACCCTTAGACCCACCAAGCACCACCCTTCAAACAAGACATGATCTAAGGGGGTCAAATGTCATGCACGGGATCTCACCCTTCAATGTCAACCACCCAAGTAGGCATGGTAGAAGAGAAATTTGGCTAAGTGTTGAGATTTAGTCATTAGGGTGTCAATCATGAAAGGGTCTCACCACTCACCTATCTAGCATGATGTCATGCAATGGGAAATGGGGGTCAAACACTAGGTACCATGCCACCTACCTACCATAGACTAGCATGTTAAGCTCAAGCATGATGTTGTGGAAGGAGGGCCATCACGAGTACCCCTTGACGTGGTGGAGGAAATATTTGGCTAAGTTCTGAGATCTCATCACTCACCTACCCAATAGTCAAGAACCTAGCCACCCACCAGTAGGGTGTCAAGCATGAGATCATGCCGGGGGGGGGGGGGGGGGGGGGGTCAACATGTGCATCCCAA